CTTAAAACTATTATTATGTAATCTTGATATACATTTTTTAAACACCATGGATCAATACACTTTGCATTAAAATAAAAAAAAATAAAAAATTTCTTTCTTAAATCAAAACTAATTTTTATTGTATATGCATCTGCTATCACTTAAAGGTCAGAAACCTTATAAAAAAAATGTCCTCAATGTTATGCAGTTCATATATTAGTGAAGGTATGACTCTGCTACACAACTATAGAGGGTCATATAGAAAATGCACAAGTAAATACCGAATTTATAATATTTCATGTTCAATTATACAATAGTAATAAGAAAATTAATTGAAATATACGCAAGGATGCTTTTAAAATATACAAAATTTTCATGACTGCACATGGTTATTAATTGATTAAATTATGAAAACGTGAAGCCATATTGAATTTATTATAATGTAATAATTTGAACATATATAGCAGCTTTTCTAAGTCATTTAGAATCTAAACAATTTTATATTTTAGTACAATAAGTGAGCAATTAAGTTTCGGCTTCAAACTTCAGTCGGATCATAGTTAAAATCTGTACAATATTTTATGGCTTAATATTCAAATCTAAAAAAATAAATTCAAATTCTACAATTAGTGTAAAATAAAAATAAAAATAAATATCTAATAACTGCATCACTCAATATCTGCAACCCCTCAAAAAGATAAACTATTTTAATTATATCTTTAAATTCATAAGCCGTCAAATTAAAAATCAGCCGACAAATGATGCAACTGATCAAATTTCCCAATTTTCTGTCAAATGCGTTCGGAGTTTCACCGATCTGTTATGACATTTTACAAAAAAAATACTTATTTAATGAAAATTCAGTAAAATATAAAACTGTATAAAGCTATTCATGATTATTATGCTGCCACAAGTACTAAAAATGATAAAAAACAATATTGAAATAAATTTTTGCGACAAACGAACGAAAATAATTTTAACATTATAAACTTAAATTGATATTAAACATAAAAATGAATTTTATTTCCTTAAAAATTAGAAAATTTATTAAAAAAGTTTTAAAAGTCAAAGTCTGCATAAAGTATACTACTGGTATATGATAATTTATTTAACGCAAATATAAATGCACACAGTCTAATGAAGTTAGACAGCATCAGCTATCATTGAATAAAAATCTTTTCCTTTGTTATTATACTCGTATATCTTAATGTAAATTTTAAAATATATTAAGCCGCAACCTGCATACACTAAAATTTATATTTATTTATTATACTGTCCTATATGAGAGATTCAGTTTTATTTGACAAAGAATAAGAAAAAATAAAATATAACAAAAGATAATATTGCAATATTCTATTATAATGATGTTGGCAGATTTTTATCCAGATTTTGAAGATGAGCCAAAATCAAAATAAAAAATTTTTATCCAAATAGGAAATGTATACTCGGCTTATACATAAATATATCCAATAAATTAAGTATAACAGTATGTTAGGTGTATGTATTGTTGATAAAATATAGGTTTATATTTCAATATTTTGGCCAAAAATTATACATATAAATAGATATATACAGACCCGGTTCTGCCTCGTTCGGTGCTAAACGCGATTTCCAAATATTGTACCCGGCTCATTAGATGTTTTCAATTACAAAATTTTTTTGTAAAAAAAGTAATGGAATTACGTTTCTTATTATTTTTTTTAATCTAATTTTCCTTTTTAAGTTTTCAATAGCGCCCCTGTTTTACAGCATTCATTGCAAATGCTTACTTGGCATATGGTTATGGTACATCCGGCACTGCTTGTGTATATACATTATAGAGGATCAATATAAATAACATTTTGGTCTTCATATTTTAAATTTTTTTTTTTACTATCTGAAGAAAAAGTTCATTTTCATGTAGTTTTTATTATTAATCAAACTATGATAGCCATAAAAAAGTGACCACCTCTTCTAAAATAATTATGTAGGTATGTATGTACATAAAATTATATTTTTTGTTCATATCATTAAAAATTTATTGTTATTTTGGTACAAAGTTTGAATTTTTTCCTATTAAATTTTTAATATTGAATATAGTGAGATTTAGTGTTTTCATACAAGGTTACTTGATGAGATTCGAAAAATCAGTTTGATAGAACCACATTTTCCGAACTTGTTACGAAATACTACGATTCTTCTTTTTATATTTTGACCTTTACTATTCAAGAAAATATGATAAATAGAGCTTACTTAGTAACCCGCAACTCATGAAATCATCTTTTTGGTGACTTAACCAAGTTTTGAGAAATTTCCTCATTTTCATGTAAGGCTGCAGTTGTAAAGCCCAACAATTCAAAAGGCAAAATGTAAAGCTCTATTATTTTACTTTGGGAATACAAACTAGACGCGGACACCTTGTATATTATCATTTTTCTCTCGGATAATATAGCATAATATATTTTAATAAAATATAGGAAACGTTAAAATAATGATAAAATTTTATTAAAAAGAAAATTTATGTTAATTTATTCTACACAATTTTTTATGATTCTATTATACTTACTACTTAGTGTCACATTTTAATTTTCCGAGCCAATCTATTTTACAAGTTTGAAGTGAGGAATGGTGTTTATTCATCATAATATATGTTGGTACCAATTCTTCTCCACTCTATTAAAAATTAAAGGCGTGTTAAAATGATTCACCAGTGAGAAAAAATTTCAAGCGAAAATTCTTAGTTGTTATGTCAAATTTTAAGCGTGACACTATCAATAACTGTTACTATTTTGAGATAAATAATAGTAGTTGGTTTGTGTTAAAATTTCTCAGAAATTATTTTATCACAGATTTTTTTTAAATATTTCGCACGTTTATGTGTGCACACATAAGCAACAGTGATTAATAATGGCAAATTATACACCAAATACTTATTAACCTTAAAAATTATTTATTGTTTTAAAAGTAAGCAAAATTTCAATTCCTATTTAGAATTTAAAGAAGAAGAACTAAAATTAATGTGATCCTTGAAATAAATATTTTGTTATTTACTTCTTCCTTCATCCACACTTGTATATCTGGGGCGTTGGTCATAATATTTAGTATTTTTATCGAAATTTTTGTTGATAAATTTATTCAATGCTTATAAGTTAATTTGATTATTGACGTAATTTTATCCTTGTTCTTTTCCATTTTTTGGTCATCTGTTTTTTATTCTCTTTAAAGTTTATGTAAATTTAAAGCTTTCCAAATTTTCATCCACGTTTTTCACATTTAATGTATGACGTATTGTAGCTGTAAATTTAAATATTTATTATGTTTAATAAAATAAGTTTTCAATACAATTATGGATAGGGTGGTTATGATGAAACAACAACTTTATTAATACCAATATTATTTAATAATCCTTTGAATAAATATGGAACTTTTAAATATCTTGCAATTGTTTTTTATAAAAATACTGTAGCTAAGCTGTTGTTGTCATTTTGTTGAAAGCGTGATCACAACTATACAATTGTAGTTCACACAATGGCAGCGATTTCGTAAAAGTAGTTCACAACACAACAAAAACAAATGCGAATACTTCAAACGGAATCAGCTATTTAAAATATTTGCGTTTCGGCACAACTGTTGAGAAATACTGATACTATATTCATAAGTTCTTCTTTATTGCCATTTAATTATTATAAGAGAACATTTTTACCGACCGCATTCCATACAATAAGGGAAGTTAGGTGATGGCACCGAATTTTGGATGTCGAGTTTTCCGTAGAAACGGGCTTCTTCTTGGTAAGGAAGCGTAAATAAACAATTTTCAGGAGTGTGTCGGTTTATTTGTCTGGTTGTCTGTTTGTTGGTCGGTCTGTCTGTTTATCTTTTCGGTCTGTGTGTGTACACGTGCATCTCAAGTTGATGAAATTTTATATGTGAGGCTGATTTTATATTTTAGCACATATAAGGAAAAATGATCTACCAATTTCCTTGAAATTTGATATTCAAATTCGAGATATCAAAATTATTAATCTATACATTTTTTTAAAGATCAGGGCTCGGAATCCAGACTAGAGGCCGATTTTATATTTTGTACCATATCTACTGAGCTAATTGGTGGCATCTCGTGAAATCTCATATTCAAGTACTGGTTGTTTCCACTGACAAACCCTACTAAGACCCAAATTTACACTTTTTTAAGTATATTAAGTAAATGCTTATTAACTTCCTTAAAATTGGAAAACAGTGTTTTAAAGCAATTTCCATAATCTTTTGCAGCACTTTCGCTCAACTACACAATAAACAGTGCAGTCGTTTATTTGCTGACCACATCAGACTATTGAGTACGTTTTATACATCATTTTCATAAATATTTTAACTTAATAAAAGCATTAAAAGCTACACACATATATACATATATACCACGTTACACTTCAAATCAAAATAATTTTCATTATAAGTCGAAATTGTAATGCGAATTTTATTCAAATGAAATTGAAATTATTCTAATGTTGTGTTTGCTGCCTTCTTTTGAAAATATTTCCTTTTTTATATAAAAGGCGCGTTCTCCTTCAAATGTGATTTTGACTTTTGACATTTTAAAAACAAAAAAAAAAATGAAATTAAAATCGATAATTCAGGTGTGGTAACAAAATATTATTTAAATTTGGAGGAGGACCAATTAAGAGTATTGCATAATATAAGATTAAAATTTAAAAAACTCAAAAATATTTTGAACTGAAGGACAAGACCCTTATCAATCAGCAAAATAATATCGAATAAATTTTTAAATTTCAAAGAAATTCATTGTATTTTGGGTAAATTCATGAAAATTTTATAAACTGAACTGCGTCATCTTTACAAATTTCAAAGTTGTATAAAATGATGTTAGACGATTTCAAAAAGAATTTCAGTAGAAATTTTTTAACAATCTTCAAATTTAAATTAAAAATTATAAAGTCTCTTTCTAATTATTAATTGTAAACTTTCTTTTTTATCTCTACTGAATTTTATGATTAAAATAAATTTGTTTTTGTTTTTCTCTCTTACAGGTAAGAACAAAATACTCTTCTTTTAAAAAAAAACTAATGATGAGAAAATTTTAATTTCGAAAACACAAACCAACCTATAAATACTAAAAATGTCTCATGTAAGTATGAAAAATTTAATTATAAATTAAAAAGATAACAATTTTAATTAAAAAGAGTCCTTTAATAAACTTTTTTAATTTTTACTTTAATTTTAATTTATTCAAATTTTCATATTTTCGGTTGAAAAATAAAATTTTTTAAAGGCAATAGTGTAAATTTCATTTTATCAATAAAAAGGTTTGAATATTAGATTGATTTAGAAATAAAGGAAAATAATTGGCAACAATATGGCCGTTTCTCAGTATATCAGATGCGTGCAAATGTATGCAAACAGTACATCAAAGTCATAAATTCCAGTCCGACGTAACATGTACCCGTTATAAATTCCAATATAAGTTGCTAACGCAACTGATCAAATATTTCGAAATTCAGATTTATTATCCCAATTTAAAATAACAAAGTTTTCTTTTAATTTTTTTTAAATTTTCAACAATATATTTTGACTTATGAAAGTTATACTTATTTATGGATTGGAATATTTTTAAAATTCGACAGGGAAATTTTCAAAGTTTTAATTTATGTACTTTTTAAACTTCAATCTTATTGCTAATTGTATATAGCTAAGTAGCTACTTGAAAAATTTTGTTTTAAAAATTATTATATATTTTTTGAAATTATTTTTTAAAAAATTCGACGTATAATTGAGCATCTTCTTATTTCGGAAAGTAGTCAGAAAATTAAAATTACTTAATTTTGGTTTTAATTGGTTATACGGTGACAGATTTAAATATTTGACTTTGTCTTTTCTTCATTCCCGTTGGGAACGTAGGGCTTCCACATATACTTTAAATCTTACCCTGTTTTATGCTTGGTACTTAACTTCTGACCATGTTTTTGCCCTTGTTTCAACTTTTTTTAGTATTGTTCTACTCTACGATTAGGATTCCACCGCAAAGCTTGTTTTGTCATTGTGTTGTAAGCTTCCTGTAGAGTGTGACCTAACCACTTGCACTTTTTTTCTTTTTTGTTATGTTTATTGGTTTGTGTTCTATAATTGCCCAGAGTTCATTATTTGTTATTGCCATGAGCCAGAGCACTTTACATATTATCCTCAGACACTTATTTATGTGTAACTGCATTTTGTTGATATAGTTTGCGCCAGTCAACCATGTTTCGCAACCAATTTTTTTTTAATAATTTACAAATACATATGTATATAATGTAGATTTAAATGTCAACGTTTAAATATTTGATAATAGCATATTTTTTTAAATACTTCTTTGGAAGACTGCCGAAAAAAAGTATAAACATTTTGTTTTACCAGATTTTTATGTAGAGTTTTTCGATTTCCGAAATGTTTATCTCTTGACATTTACTGCCTTAAAAAATTAATTCTCTTCATATTACAGATAAGTTTTTGTAACCATATTTTACATAGATAACCATAGAAATTTTTTTCGAGAATTAAGTACAATTTTGCATTCATTATTTTAATTTTATAATAAAAAACTTAGCATTCATTTAATTTTCAATAATTTTTAAATTTCAAAAATAAATTTTAGTTAAATTTTATTTCCTGTGTAATATTGAAGAAATTTATAGTCAAATTTTATCAATTACAACAATATTCTAACTAATTGATTTTAATAATTCCCAAAACTGAAATTAAAAAAAAAGGAATGGAAAGATTAATTGATCTCGTTATAAAAACAATTTTGAATGACATACAAAAAGTATATTTGAATTTTAATTTATTACTGAATTGGTTTTAATGTTTTTTTTATAAATTTTTTTTGTATTCATTTTATACAAAATTTTTTCAAGATTGATTAACTTTTATTTTTTTTCTCAGTCAATTTACATAGATGAATCAAATGGTAATAATTTGTATTCAACAATAGCAAATCAAACAACAAATTCAACATATAGAGCCCAACAAAATCTAAATAATTCACCGTCATCGAAAAGTACAACAAGATCATCAAATGAAGATTTAAGTCAAAGTTTGTCGGAATATACGGATGCTGAAGAAAGTATGTCAGCTCCGACAGAATTTCTGGCTGAGGTATAAGTTTTATTTACTTTTAATTTGTTTTAATGTTTGTTATAAGGAAAATATATAAAACTACATTTGATTTGTGAAATTGAATTGTTTCAGACCCTGCTTTCTTCTTAAATAGTGTCGGAGTTTGAAATTTTCCAAAATTAATTTGATTTAACATAAAATGATATTTTTATTACTATCTTAAATCTTGTCTTTAATATATTTACCTAATGAATATTACAATAATTATTAATTCATAGATTAATATTATAGCTAGTTAAGAATTTTCAGGAAAATATTTTTATTATGGACGTTTTAATTACGGCTGGTCTGTTAAAAGACAAAACGAAAATGTTTAGAAGAAACCTTTTTTATTTTTTTTTTTAATACAATGTAGCAAGTACGGACATGAAACGGAATTGTACCGGCTACGAAAACTGGAGCATAAACTCAACTGTGAACTGGAAAAATAATTTTACCGTTCTAAGTCTTTGATAGTAATATAGTTAAATGTAATTGCCCTAATTAAAGATCATTTGCCTTTTAATTTCTAGGCAAGACCATTCAGGCATAATTTTTTTTTTAATTTTTTTATTGCACAATAAAAACTTCTTAAAATAATTGCTTAGTTTTTGCTACAATGTATAGAGTTTTGTTGTTGTACCAAAACTAGTTTATTTTTGCACTAAGAGAATATTGTCCTTAGCTTTATAAAGGCAGTCGTTGTGAGTTTTTTGAACACGGAAAATATTATTTATATAGTGGTATACTCGTCGATTACTCTTATTTGTATATAAATTTATAATATAGGTTTCAGTGTTAAGCTAAATGTTAAAGTACCAATTATATCCAATTTTATAGGGATTCTAAGAATTACACACATACCTGATTTACTTGTAAACATAAATATTTTATATTCTTATGTATATAAATACGAAGCCTAGTGGTTTGGTTTCATTTTACCATTATAATGCTCATCATTTCGAAAAATGAGTATCATTCCACAAATCACAGTGTCTAGTAACGACAAATAAAAAAAAATGTTTTTCTAGTGAAAATACAAAATTTTTTTGTTATTTTTTGCAATTAAAAATAAAAAACTTGCATTAAAAAATGAATTTTTTAAATATTTCATTCTTTTCGGCAGAAAAATAAAAGCTTTTATGAAAAAAATATTGAAGAGAAAATTGCCTAAGTGTATTTTGTTTTTTTTTTTCTTACAGTAGTACGCGCATATATACTAATTATGTATTTTAATATTCAAAGCCCCTCAAGATATGCAATTTCGTACAAGTTCTCTTAATTATTTATTTTGAATTTCTTTACCAGTTTTTGTTTTGTCGTAAATACCTTAAGACTTTTTATACGTTAAGACTTTTTATACCAATCAAAATAATGCAATACATACAAAAAAAATTAGCCTTCATTAAAATTTTTAAGAGTATTTTCTTGTTAAATTATTAAATTATGGGAATTGAACATAGAGGTAGTAAATTCCATATTAAATTCTGTATAGCATAGGAATCGTATCGGGGAAAAAATATAACAGAGAAGTATAACAAAGTGGTTGTTGTTGGTATATAATAGTGAAATATAATTTACTGAGTTAATTAATTTTTCATATAAACTAAATTTTTTCAAATAAATAAAGGAAAAATTACAAATATTTTGTATGTATATGCGACCTTGTGTATAGGGCAAGTATATGTAGTGGCACAGGAAAAATTCCTTTCTATTTTAGTGTGAACGTGTTTAAGCACGTTTGAATGTTTTTTATAGTATATATGTAATTAATATGTATGTGTATTTGATAATTTTAAATTAATAAAAAAAATTGTTTTATTTACAGTTTTTATCGGCGGTCATGTTGAAAGATTACCAGAGAGCTTTCGAATATTGTAAATTGAGTGAGTAGTTTTATTTTTATTTAAATATTTATAAGTAGATTAGTGTCGAAATTCCGAAATTTTTTATTAACTAACAATTAAGTTGAAATCTAGTATGCAACAAAAAAAAACCTTTTATTCTAACTACTTTTAAATTTAGCAATTTTGAAGATTGTGTGTAAATCTGTAATGTGTAATTGCAACTACAAGAAAATCAATGTTAGAACGGTTTGTTTACTTTTTTTGCAAGAGAAAGCCAGCCTATTTTATTTAAATAAAATTACAGGTATATGCAAATTGACATTAGTGTGTATATTTTCAAATGCGGTTTTCTCAAAACACAAAAAAACCAGTTACGTGACTCTTCCATTATACGGATGATATCTAATAGCAATAAAATTTATTATTTTGTAATTTCCAAATAAATTTATATGAATATATATATTTTCGTTTTTAAAAAAATGAATTTATGTGCAAATGTTACCATTTCTCTGTATAAATATTAGTATATGAAGAATGTTATACTATGCATATATGAATTGCAAAATGCGTATAGCTTTAATAATATCACAGTGAATTGATTAAAATATTAACATGTACACATCGATGGTGTAATGTAAAGATGTGCTAAGTAATACTAATTTCGAATGGTTCTCTTTGTGTGTGGTGTGGGTTTCTGTGCTGTACTTGTATTAGTTTGCAAGATCGGTGTGGTTCTTTGCTAGAATATTTATATTATACAAAAACTGATACATTGATGAAAGGCAAATTTTCTAAATACATTAGTTAGTATTCGTAATTTTAACACTGTTAACCATTTTATGCTAAGCGCACGACCTTTTGTCCAAAAATTTTAATTTTATTAAAAAATCTTATTTAAAGTCAAAAACTAATTTAAGTAGGAGTGACTTCCATATTGTAAAAGGAAAAAAAAAACAGTTTTTAAACCGTTTTTTAATTTTTTAATAAATTTTACATTCAGTTGCACCACCGCTCAAACAAAATTTATAAAAAGCATCGGGAAATTTTTCGAGGCGCTCTCCTTTCCTGCGTATTCAAAACGGTTTCCAAAAAATTTGCAATTTACTACATCGTAACGCTATATAATTTTATACCCTGGATTCAACTATATGGAAAGCCAGGGTATTAAATTATATAGAATTATCCTAATTAACTGGCCTCATTTCGCAAATTTCCAAACTTTCAAAACGCTCCCCTGTAAAATTTTAAAACTTGGTACTTAGCATACTATTTTATATGATTGCATTACACCATCGACATATATACAAATTTCAAATTTAATTTCAATTTCAAATGTTTCTTTATATACTCGAATACTTAACATACAAAATTTACATTGCATACATATTAATAGATTTCTTTTTGAGAGCGATAAGTACATGAACGTTATGTTCCAATGTTAAAAATATACACAAAAAAATTCATAGATCTCATTATTAAAATATTTATTTAAAAATATAACAAAGTCAACAAAATTAAATCAATATTATTCATTGTAATAATAACATTTTCATTATTCTGTATTTAGAATAAATTATATAATATAAAAATATTATAATAGAATAATATTTTTTTATTCAAATAGAGAAATAATAAAGTTGGGTCAAACCAATGGTTTATATTGTAGCACTTTTCCCTTCAACAAGTGAAAATACTGCTTTTAAAAACAGTCTATGTATATCCACCACACTATTAAAATTATTTTCATTTATAAATGAAACTATTTCTAGGATTGCACATATTTAGGATGAACTATTTATGCAGTCTTTGAAATAAAGCAAAATTTAATATAAACGGGAGTTAACATAATGCTCGATTTTAAGGGTTAATTGTGTGAGTTAAGAAAAATAATTATATTTTTTAATGTCATGGAATTTACCGTTAACTTTTTGCGTTTATAGAAATTTGAAAAAACTTGCGATTTCGAAAATATAAGGTGTCAAAAATGCAAATTTTACAAATTTCAAGACGCCATAACTTGAGAGGGGGTGGAGATGGAAAAAAATTTTCTTCTAACGAAATGAACTACTTGTTAATGTCTAAAAGCCTCTAAAATTTCAAGCTTCTACAGGCTGGGGTCTAGAAGAAAAACGACATCAAAAATTTGGAAAAAATGGACTTTAGATAACGGTAAATTTGAACGGCCATTTTGTTTTTATAAAATTTAACTATAGTATACCGCGGTAGGGGAAGCGAGCCACTGCCTTTCTGCGTTTGCAAAATTTCAAAAATGCTTATGGTTTCATTGCAACAAATAGTTAAAATAGGCCATTTTTAGTGCTTTGGGGGGTTATAACTTCTAGAGGGGCGGAGATAGGTAAAAATTTTGTTCTACGAAAATAAGTTTCTAGTAAAGATCTATGTACGTATTAAATTTCAGCTTTCTATCTTTAAGAATGTAGAAGTTTTGTAAACAGACACACGGACAGACGGACGGACGGACGGACGGACGGACGGACGGACGGACAGAGTGAAACTAATAAGCACTTTTTTTCAAAAAATTTTTGGAAAAGTGCTAAAAAGGCACACATACGATTTAATACATAACTACAAAAAAATTCTTATTATGTACATTTACAGTTCTTCAATATGAGCCAAATAACGCAACAGCCAAGGAATTCTATCCTCTGATTCAAGAAAAATTGAAAAGTAAGAAAAATTTTTGTACGTGAATTTTATTTTAAAAAATTGATGGAATTGAAAATCGATTTTCATGTAAACACAATTATTATCAATATAATGGACGAACTTTTATACTAGGATAAAAGTAAATTACTTTTAACAATATTAAGCATTTTTTATTTCATAAAAGCGCAAACATATATCTTAACACACATACATGTATAAATAATTTTCTAAATTAAAATTTTAAAGCAATTTTTTTTTAGTACAATTTCTATTTTATTTTATTGAGACATTAGAAAATTCTACAATTTTATATAAAAGAGAAAATTAAGGAGAAAAGAGAGAAAACAGAAAACGATTTGATAATTTTTTTTCTTTCTTGTTGTTGTTATTGTAGACCGTACCGTAACGTAATGACTGCTCATTTAATATTCAGTTCAGTTTTTCAATTCTCAATTCTCACTTAAATTCTTTTTTGCTTTTTGTATAACTATTTTTAACTTTTCTTATAAAATACTTTGTTTTTTTTTTTTTGAGTCCATCATAATTGTGTTTGCACACGGCTATTCACATTTTGTTCAAATTTTTCTCACATTATCTTGATTTCATTTTGTTTTTTTCCTTATTTTTTTTTATTTTATTTTATAAAGTTGAATCAGCTGGTGAAAATGATGAAAATGGTAATAAATCATCATCAGCGGATGGCTGTGCTGATACTGATAATGATGATGATGTTGATGATGATGTTGATGATGATGAAGTTGAAGAAGAATCAGTAGATGACAGTAATAGCAATAATAGTAGTAGTAGTGATCAATCATTAAATGAATCGGAAGTAGCAACAAGTGAAGAATCTGATGAAAATTTATTAGATCCACCTGGTTCAAATAATTCATCAAGTGGTAGTGGTAGCGGTTGTTATGGTATTAGCCGTAGTGATAATACAACACATTCATATTCAAGTTTATTATTAGAAGAAGAAGATGATGTACCACAAAATATAAATTTACGAGATATTCATCGTACAGATTTAGATATTAGTAATGGTAAGTTAATATACAAAAAAACAAAAAAAAGAGAAAAACTGGATGCGAAAAGTGAAACATTATTATTTTGTTTTTATACATGGGTAATTTATTAAAATTTATTCTTATAACTTAATATTTAGTAGAAGACTGTGCATTACTAAAATATAATAGAAAAATTTTCAAACATGTATGTATAAAGTCAGGATATTCAAAAGTTCTAGCATAAATTTTGAAACAAATAGAAAGTAGGGATGTGTATAGAACAATATTTTTTGTTTGAATAGGATTTCCACATCATACGTTTCTATGCGTTATAATATTCGTCATTCTCCGTCATTTTTCATAAAGCACAAGTTAGATTGTGAATGAATTTACATTATTGTAATCTACTTCTTTCTAAAGACTCTTCACATATTACATAATAAAAAATTTCCGAATTTCTAAACGGTATACCGGACCATTCAATCTGATCATTGGTGCAGTGGTTATGGCACCGGCCCTTAAACCGAAGGGTCTCGGGTTCAAACCCCGGTCAGGTCACTATAAAAATTATATTCAATATTATATACATAACTTAATATGCAATATTAATAAATTTATACAAGTAATTTTCAAATATTCATAATATGCGATACTAAAAAGACTAAGAAAAATAAGCAGTACAGTATTAATAAACGGAAATTATAAATAAAAACTACGGTAGGCTAGTCACCTACCTAGCTAACTCTCTATGACTATTGAAACTAGGACATGATAGATATCATGAACTAGCCCTATGCTCCTTATAGGAGTGAAGAAGGAAAAAAAAAAAAAAATACCGGACCATTCTAACTTATTTATATTACCATAAAATTAAAAAATTTCAAGAATTTATTATTGATAAGCATTCTTTTAGTGTAATTTCTGAATTTCAATTCACAACATGAGTGATCACAATTATTACTCTCTAAAGAACTTTACTCTCGCCTGGCTAAATGTTGAAAATTGTCTGAGACTTGTCTGACTTTTAAGAAAATGTAAGTGGTAGTGATATTTATCGTAAAAATGTTTGGTATTATTAACTACAAATCAATTCATAAAATGGATTTGTGTCCATAATAAAACCTTTAAGCTTACGATAAATATTGCTTATTGACTCCATACTCAGATTATGGAATGTCAGCTCCATTAATAAAAAAATATGAAGAATTTGTTTATATTTTGGAAAATAAATATATATTTCATTTCGTTCAATATAATATTTATATTAAATTTTCAATTTTATTTTAGGAAATTTCATTTCTGCCTCATGCAGTGACTCAGAGTCCCCAACAGAACCATTAACACAAAGATTGGCTGCAATACTACGATCAAAATGTCATCCTAATGATAACGAAATTGATAACAATAAAAAATAATAAGAATTTTAAATAATTAGAAAATAAGAAAATTTATTTTAAAAATATTTATTTGTATGTATTTAAAAAAAAATAAGAAAGCACAATATTAAAAATATTACAAAAAAATTATATTCATAATAATTGTGTAGATAATTTAATTAAATAATGTTATATAAATGTAAAACTTGTAATAACAAAAAACAAAAACAATATTTACTACAAACAAAACAAAAAAAATCTATATATTCTATTTAATTAAAATAAAAACAAAAACAAATATATATATTATATATAGAGAAAGTGTAAAAATCACTTTATGTACTAGTCTTCATCTTATTAAAAATTCATATATAAAAATCTTATATACAAAAACAAAAATATATATATTATATTATTATATACATAAATGTAAAGTAGATAGGAATAAAATGTCTTATATATTAAATAAATATTATATAACACAATATTATTCAAAATATATTATGTATACATATATATATTTTTTCATATATGTTGTAAAAAAACATACCTAATGTGTAGTAAATTAAGAAAAAAAGGTTTTTTTTTTTTTAAATAGAAAAAAAAAACCAATATTTTATAGGTAAATCACAAAGAGCAAAAAAAATTAGTTTTAAGATGTTAAAAAGACAATTTATAGTTCATTGATAAAAAAAAATTTAAGTTCCTAAAGACGAGGTAAAAAATTAAGTGAATACAAAAAAAATTTTGGTTATTCTTTTTAATTAAATGTAAAAAATTTGCTAAATTTTCGAAAATTCCCAAGTAGTCTACTAATTTAAAGACACGCTAGATTTATTAAGTTTGGTTTTTAAAATTGTTAATTGACTAATCTTAAATTTAGTTAAATTATCCTTATTTAACTTTTATATAAGAACATTACATTAATTAAATATTTTATAAAATTAGTTTTAATTTAAATATTTTAATTAAAATATTAATTTGAGATAAGTTCATCATTATATTACCAAAAGACAAGCTAAATTCAGTCAAAGAATTTTTATAATTAATATGTTTTGGTACCCTGGGTTCGAAATTGCAGTATAATACGGTATTAATACACAATTCAGCTTCTAAGTTATAATACTTGAATTGAATATTAATATGGTATTGTTGAAATTTTGAAGTCACGGTGTTATTTCTTAAAGTTGTTTTAAACTCTAATTCAAAATTTTTGTATAAGAAAATCTTTTTCAAAGAATTCGAAATTTTTAGCATCATCTTGCCAAATTTGATTTAATACAATTTTAATCTTTTTATATTCTTGTTGATAACACGAAAATTATTTCGATTGTATGTATGCCAATCAGAAGTATTTAAAATTTCAAGTTAATTTAAAATTCAATTTACTCATACTGAAATATTTAATATTAAATTTAAATATTAAATTTTTAAAAAATTGTTTCGTATTAAAAACAGAATATAAGAAATTTTTCAATTAAAAAAACAAAATTATTTTTTATATTCACTTAGTTTTTTTCACAATTTTTTACATATCCATATAAAAAAGAGTTGAAAAACAAAACTAAATATTTTAAAAAGGAAATATTAAATTATTTCTGAAAAATTATGAAAATCTTATTTTAAATTTTGTGTCCTAAATTTTAATTTAACTAATTTTAATTTGTAAACAATATGACATTTAAAAATATGATAATAACTTTAAAAAACTTCAATTTGAAATAATTAAAAATATAAAAGAATTTCTAGTATATTCAAAAGAAAAAACTCCGTTTTATTCGAGATCGAATATAATTCGGAAGCTTGAGAAGATAATCAGCTTTGTTCGAATCTATATGTACCGCACGCAGCGTATATTAGCGAAAATAAATATTCGATTTCGAATAAAAGAGAATTTTCTTTTAATATATTAAAAAATTTTTTACAATTTCGGAAATTATCAAATATTGCAAGAAATATTTTTGAATTCCTAAAAATTTGACAAAATATTATAAAACAATGTGCTATATATGTACGTATAATTTTTTATTTCTTTCTTAAAATTAAAAATGGTACAAGAAATTTATTTTAATAATATTATATTTAGGATTCCTTATGAATTATTAATAGAATTACTAACTAAATCAGTATAAATATTATGAAAATTATTAATTTCGATCATGTGAATTTACGGCCTCTTATTAAACAAAATTAAAGACATTAACATATTTAAAATAAAGTAATGAATTTTTTGATACAGACTGACACAAAACTTCTTATTACAATTTTAATTTTTAAAAGTCAGATCAATATTAAAAATTTTTATTTCCAGATCAAGATTGAACTGAACTCAATGGTTTTTAATTTAAAAATATTGAGAAATTTGAATACTTTAGAATAAACCCAAAATTTTCAATACTTAATAAAAATTATTCATTTTAACATTAAAAAATAAGAGAAATATCGTTGCACCTACCACCTGCTTTGTAAAATCAAATTTAACATAATTAACATCTTAATGCTATTAATAAAATTTAAACAAAATAATTGGGAAAACCAAAACCATGAAATTAAATAGCAACAAATTAAAAGTTCAAGGATTTTTTTATACCTTTTATATACATACATAATTTCTTTCAAACAAACATAAAAATTGTCTAAACGAAAAATCTTTGCAAGGACATCCTCCGCGTCTTTATCGAATTTAGATTTTTAGTTTTTTGTTTAGTAAGAGGAATTCTTAAAATAATTGAAGGTCTCTCTTATATAATATCATTCAAAGAGAACATAAACATAAGTACATATATACATATGTATATAAATATATGTATGTATATTTATCAATGATGATCGCCAAATGACCTCTAAATTGTACCATTGCCTAAAAAGAAAAAAATAACATAATTTTTTTTCGGTTAATTAGAAAATTTAAAGTTGGAATTTGTTCGGGTTCTAGCCAAAAAATTATGTTTACAAAATATTAAAATGAAAGTATAAACAAAAAAAAACCTAATATTTAGATGTATGCAAATACATATATACATTTATCAAACATATATTTATAAAAATTATTATAAATCATGCCAAAAAAAAACATAATGAACAAAAGAATGAAAGAACCAATAGCTTTTCGAAAAAGTGTAATTCTTATACAATCCCCTCTATTATGAACATCGGTATCCTCCGATATATTATTGGCAGTTCTAATCGGTTTTAGGTTTCTTCTGTATTATGAACCGATACCGATAAAAATATTTCAACCGATTAAAAGAAGCTGTTTCATACAAATTTTTGTTTTTGTAAATTGGAGAAAAAGTTTTTTTTTTCTAATGACATTTGTTTTCTTTCAAAAGTTATTTTCAAAAAATTTTTAAAACTATTTTGAATTTGGTTTTGATGTGCTAAAAAGTTGTTGTAAGCAAATTATTTTCTGTTAAATTTGTAAAATAAAAATATACATATATCGGGAAAATGTCGCGTGCATTATATTTTGAAAGTGAAGAAACGGTAGTAAGTGAAGAAACGCAAGCTATTCAAAGACAACATATAAGAGATTCAATTAATCCATTGGATTTAGACAACAAAATGTATGTTTATGTACCTATTTTATTTTATTATTTATATAATATGTACACATTTTTTAGGTTTATCCAGAATTTCAGATTATCATTCCTTGCCAGGTTTAAATCCTCTTCCATTTTTTCTACTAACCGCGCAATTTGTTTTTTGTTGCTTACGATTTTACTCCTAAATAAAATATATGAATAACATTTTGAAAGAAAATAATTTAGAAAAAATGCTTACATTTTAAAAAGGCAATTAATTACACCAGTTTCCTTGATAAAATGAAGATTTTACAAAAAAAAAAAATCTGTCGTCTAAAAATTTGTACCCGCTTTTAAATCGGTGAAAACCCGACAATTTATCGTTTTCATAATACCAGCTAATACGTTTCCTATATAGGGAAAAAAAGCTTTCCCGACTCCGATAAAATTTACCGGTAAACAATGTTGGTAATACAAACACAAAATTTTGCCGATAAATGATCGTTTATCGGCCGATACCGATATACATAATAGAGGGGAATATTTAAGGGAAACAAGTGCATTTCTATATATTAAGTTTTTTTTTTCATTATAATAGTTGTTGGTTTGTAATATTATACTTTTTTGCACGGTTTTTAGGTCAACCGAAAACTCTTTTCTTGATCTTACACGGGTTTTCAAAATTGTGGAACACATCCTCAATTTTAATATGAGTAGCATGTCTTTTTTTACACGTTTTTTTTTTACACGGTTTTCGTTGGAACGTATCTACCGTGTAAAAAAAGAGTTGGGTGTATATACATTATATAATATTGCAAGTGTCAAGTTTAGTGTCAAATTTTTTTGCTTTTGCTATTTTTAATAAGATTTTTGTACTTGACATATTATCAACTTTATGTGTTTATCAAAACTTTGAAGTCAGTATATATGTTTATACTCGTATATTAGAAAATGGAATTTTATTATGTCAGCAAATCCCTTAATTATTTTTTTTTTTGCAAATTTTAAGACGAAACTTTTATAGTTGCAAAGTTATAGATAATGCACTTGTTTGCCATTCAAATATAATAAATGACATTCATACATACGCTCATATGTACATGCATTATATAAAATAAATTAACAACATCTACATACATATACATACACTTTATATTAAATTATTTAAAAAAATTTAAAAAAATATGTGTAACAATCTTATATAATATATTGTTTATTGAATAGATTTTATATATCATGATTATAAAAGAAAAATGATAACAACAAAAACCATTTTATTAAATATATAAGTAAATAAATGTTTACTAATAAATTGTATGTATGTAAAATTGATCAATATTGTTTTTAAAATTAAAATTACATTTAAAGAAAAATTCTTAAAAAAAAATTCTTATATACATATATACATATATGTACATACATACATGTATAATTACTTGTAATTCTTATAATTAAGTTATGTACTTATATTTTACTTATAGCAGCATTTAGATTTATAAAAACTCTTATATAAAAACTTATATAACACTCTATATATTCAAATGGATATATAAGAAATATATATATTTAGAATTTAAGAAAGCATATCTTTT